GTGTGCCTTGAAAACGTCATTTCCTACCTGTGCTGAGGTATCTCCACTCCAGCCAACAAAATTTTGCATGCAAGGTCGAAGTCCACTGCGACACGCGATAACAGCGGTAATCCATGATGCATGGCACCCTCGTCAATAGATATATCGACACCCGAGGCCTGGAAATTGAAGGTAGCTTCAAACTTTGAAATTAAAACAGTTCAAGAGTAAAGAGAAGGTTTCAAAAACCGTTACAAACCTAGACAAGATGTACAAAATGCTAGCGATTTTGGGGCAAAAACGGCCAAAATAAATATCGTTTGTCTGCCGAAAGCTGGGGAAAGGGGAAACAGAAACAAGTCGATGCAACAGTTGATCCAACGCTGGAGAGTAATGACTGATCCTATGATCACCCCACGGGTGGAATCTCTTTATCGTCTTCTCTATCTCCACCTGCCGTCGAATAATACCTTCACAGATTCGATCGAAGCGTGAGGTGGTCACTGATATAGGGCTTTTTGAAGGGAAGGGGCTCCGGGATGAAGTAGCTACTTATAATCGGTGAAAAGCTCTATGTGCGAAGTCACAACGGCCATAGAGTACCATGTGGATGAGAGAGTGAAAGAAAAGAAAGAAAAAGAGAAGATCGATGCCTTAAAGGGATTGGGTTCAAGTTATCCGTGAACGCAAGCCCTGATCTCTCTCTCCATCTCGTCCATGTCGAGCTCATTCTCATTCATATCTTATCGTCAAACCACTGCTTTGCAGTGGGGACCCTATGTACTTGAAGGGTATTTTTTTTTGGCAAACCTTCGCTATTGACTTGGATCTTGCCTTCTGTAGGGTCAGTTTCCAAATATTCCGTTTTTCTGGAGTGGAGCTAAGGCAATATTGTTTTGTACGGTCACTCGGTGCTTGTATGCTTTGATTTTGAGTTGGCGCTGCAGTTCCTACCTGCTGACGTACGCGAGAAAAACATCGTCAGCACAGAACAAAGTACATGGATTAGCGCGATGCAGATATCGTTTGAGTGCATCCATGAGCCAACAATTAGCAGTAACGAGAGCGCCAAACCTTCTTCTGGATAGTTCCGCAACACATCGGATTCGACTCGCGGTGTCCATATATAAAGCATCTCCCTTCACGAGATAAAAGTAATGGAAAAATCACCTCCCAACTCCTTGAACCATATGGCCTTTCTCGTGATGGTGCTGGTGTCGGCATGGCAACAGCAATTGGATGAGGAGTTCCTTCCCAAGAATAGGTTATGACTGCATAAGCACAACCTTCCCCAGTGTTCGTCATTCCTAAACACGTAGTTCAAAAATTTTACGCACTAAAAAGGAAACAAGTAAAATGATTCTCTGCCAAGTGTTACTCTATTCTCCTCGGCAAAAATCATCAGAATTCATAACAATACTGACCACAGAAGATTTTTTTAATAAAGTGTCCGCGTTCGTCAGTTCCCGGATGAATGTAACGGTTGCTCTGCACCTATAAAACAAAACCAACATCGATCTTTATATATTTAAGGAACTCGTGTAGCTCACGAGCAACAACGCGTTATCAGCTTCATTTTGAGCCGTTGTCGCGCTCACAGCTACCGAACGTAGAGAATTAGTGAATTAGGACACGCCCCAAGGTGAGTATACATATTGATTATTAGGTTGGTGCATAAGTTCCCCCCCCCCTGTTTTGATCCTTCCGTATCTCGTTTTCATGGATGTTGGTATTTCGTCATCATGTGTTATGACTTGTACATGATACTCCTTTCATCACATTAGCTATCACTCGCAGACGGGCCTGCCATTTGCAGGCCTATGTGCCGCACAATTACCAACGCAAATGTCACAGTGGTGATTGTGCGCATTGTGGCCTTCTTCGGGTCCCAGCCCCCGTCCTTCTGGAACGATGGAACCGACAAAACTGCAATATATCAAGGCGTCGAGTAGTGGATAGGTGATGGTGCATACCTCTAATCTTCAGGCTGGCTCGCTATTGAGATATTTACAAAAAAGTCGGGGGAAAGAACTTATGCACCAATCCTAATAGAATGCGCCATTTCTGACAGTGGACGAAGGGACAGTACTCGACAAAAGACTGTATGAGAGTAGATCGACTTCACGCGCTACCGTTTCCGGTAATTACGCAAGCTAGGAATCCGAAAGATGCGCAATCTGCTAGCCGATCGAAACAAGTGGGGTCCTTTGTTGCGTCTCCTAGACGGCGAGTTTTGTTTACACTCGCAAAGTATGAACGTGGCCTAGCAATGAGGGAAAAGGGAATAGGTTGTATGCCATTTTCACTACCATATGGACCTCAAATCTAATTTCAAGGATGAAAAGGGTGAAAGTGTTCCAAGCAGTTCAAAGACGAACTGTATACTCATTTTCGTGGAACCTGTTCTTTGGATCCTATGTGCGGGACAAAGGGTCCGCAAGTACAGTAGCGTGCGGCTTTCCCCGGTCCAAAGTGCACGGGAGCGGGGTTGCAAGCTAAGGATACTCAGCAGCTGTTTGCAGACTCCACCCGCGCTGCCGTACCGCCACCCAGACATCTAGCCATAGTCAAACGCGCTTCTTGTCTGCAGTATCCCCCTCATAGTTGTGCTCTGCAGCTGGGTGCATGTTTCGGTGCACGACCTTGGTATTGATGGGTTGCACCTTTACGCTAGCGCGGGCGGGACAAGGAGGGACATTCGGTACCGCATTTCCAAAGCCCTACTCCCGTTACACATATGAGCGGAGAAAGGCACGCTGCTGCAGCTGCAGACCGCACATGGCAAAGACTCCACGGAGGTGAGTGCACAGTTTGTCTTCGAACAGAAACTATATGATTCCCCTCCAAAAACAGCCCTCTCTGCAAGATGAATGGATGTGCAGCAGGGCGCCATTTTCCCCGCTCCAAAGTGTAAGGGAACAGTGCTCTAGACTGGTGATACCCGAGTGCCACCTCCACACTCCACTCGAGCCATCCTCAAGGCGCCTGTGGGGAAACCAAAATCTAGCGGCGAACATATAGCTGCAGAGAATAACCAGGAAAACGAGAGGGTGGAGACAAGGAGCGCGTCTATGGTTAGGCGGTAGCCGTGCGCCACAGCGCACGTCGTCCCAAAGGCACCCAACTATCAACACCCTCCAGCCCCGTAACCATGCATTTGAGTGAAAAAAAGTGATACGCTACTGTGTCTGCAGCCTATTCGCTTCGCACACGGCAAGACTCCACCACTGTGGAGACAGCTCGTCTTTGAGTGAAAATAAATCCAGCTTTCATAAGAAAAATGCTCAAAAAGCTGTCCTTATAAATCGGACATTCCCTTTCACACGACATACTTACTATACAACCTTTGAACACTCGGGTCGGGATTTTTATAAAGAAAGGACTAACTTTATAGGTGTAATTCTCGGGAGTCGCCATCATCAATTTACGGGTTGCTGAGCAAAAATTGTAGAATCTGCAAAGGGAACTCTGTCTGACTAAATTCTAACAGCATCAATAGACACTTTTCTAGAAAGCCGAAAACTTCGCACTTTGTCGTTCCTTGGGGAGTTCCCCAAGACCCAAGTCCATCTAGTGTAACTTCATGTCTATGTTCCAATCCGGACATTGCTACGACGAATGTGCCCACTTCAGTAAACTCCTGTGGGACAGTGGAACAAATTAAGGAGGAGCGCACCTAAAATCATGAAAAGTTATGGGAATGAAGAACAATCGACTGTGAAGCAACTCACTCCCCAACTCACCAAGGCTGCATCGCTGACAATGATGTGTGCGGCTGTGGCGAACGATTCAGCCTGTTGGCTGTATAAAGGCCAGTCAAGGTGCATTCCAACAACATCATTTGTGACGAAAATCCGAGAAGGAGCCATTTCAGTAGGTTTCAATGATTTCTGGACACCTACAAGACGAAGGTGAGCTTACTCGTAAGACAAATGTACCTTCTAAAACTGACGAAATAAGATGCACCTTCTTCTTCCCCGGAATACTCCACAAGTTGCTTGAATGATTTCACTCGAGACTCTCGATGAGGCATGCGACGGAGACTCACAACATTACTGGGTCTAAAACAGCAGTAAGCTTGCCTTGGTAGATTTCTCTGGGCAGAATATTATGGCGACAAGTTACGTTAAAACGCATAAGTGTAAATGCCTTTCAACGAACAGCAAGAATGGAATTCAATGAAACTGACTGCGCTGATCGAGCACCTCGTCTAGCTGCTCCACGAGTCAGATGAGGTTTCTCAACTTCAGCCTGCCACTCTGACTGACTTGCTCCAGCGGCAAACTCTTCTTGTACTTCGATAAACTGATCACTTTCATCTGAAAAATAGCTCTCATACAAAGGCTAAATCATGGAACATGACAGCGTTTTTATCCTCGAATCTGGCATCATTTCATCATCCTCTGAAGATAGAAGGCGTGTTTGGCCTGGACCTTGGTAGCAGACCCAGTATTTGACTCCCGGAGCGCGCGTGCGGAGAGCGTGCCAGTTGTCACCCTCCGCCTCGAGGAAAGTCCAAATATCTCTTACAGAAAATAAATGGGCTCCCAGAGAGGCAGACTTAAGCACCATCCGCTCTACTAAACCCACAGCACCGTGAGTTGGGCGAAGGAAGACGAGAGACCAAACGTGCTAAACAGCGGCCAATATAGCAGGAAGCTCGGAAAAGGCTGTTCTGCACCGATGATGGCATGTAATATTGCGTGGCTGTCCTCAATATTTACATACAAAATGAGACGCATGCTCGGGTCAACACTTCCCAATTTTCAGCACGGAAGCTGACCAAAAGACCAAAGGGTATTCGTCCAGCACCAAACTGCCACTTGTTGTCATCGGTTTCGGCTCATCTGATAGCTCGTAGGGAGGTTTGGTGGCAACAGGAGACCCCGAGACAAAATTCGTTTCTCTGTGTCAGCATCATTTGGCGCCCTACCAAGGCCTAATTAGAAGCAAAGAAAAACAAACATGGGAAAGGAATACACTCCACAACACAGATGATCCGTTTCGCAGACGAATCATCATTGTCTAGCCAACCCCGAGCTCATCAGTGCGATAGGTTGAAGACAAGAGGACATAGACTACATAGGGGAAGGTGTGAGAAATAGGACAAAAAGAGAGAGATTGTAAAAAAGGGGGTAACATGCAAAGTTCATGCATCAAGATGATGATGAATTACACATAATAATGAAAATTAAGCCTCGAATGAGAGAGATTCCTCCCTTCCTAGACACAGCTCTAGTGGAAAACAGAGGATCAGGGGGACCCGACACCTGCCTGACTCCATAGGAGTGCCAACGCCTTGTTATATCCGTGGACAGTGCGTCACTTACACGCGACCGCACCTTCTCTGCTTTTTATCGAGAACAAGCCTCTTTTTACCGAGAACGACCTGAGGAAGAGTTCCTTACTCCATTCAGACTAAGTTTTGGCAAAGATCGCATGATGCCGGCATCGAGGGGTTAGATTTAGTGAAGTAAGTCATGATGAAAAACGGCTCTCAATGGCACTGAAAAATACTGCCACATTCATGATCAGGACGTGCCTGACAAACAACTCCCTCACATAATGTTTTCTACTTTGATGGTAAATGAGAGACGAGTTCGTGCCTGATGGCCCAAAGGGGGAGGGCGACTAACGTCGACGTCCACGCATTTTGCCAGATCGATTTTTATGCTTTTCAATGACATCCTGCTGCTCCTAAGGGCGGAAAGTATGAACACGGACTAAAGAAGGGTACAAAGCATAGCATAGCGTGAGAGCGCGCACATACTTCCCGATTTGGTCGCTCTGATTGGCAAGGATTGGTACCGTTACCTAGTTCCGCGCGATCAGTACAACTAAAATGCGAAATATGAGGCACTCTGAGAACAATCGTGTCGCTTCCTGTCGTGAACGGATTTAGTGTACACTTTCACATAATTTTTTTATGAATCCGTTAGAGTAGCTCCCTCGAAGTGGGATTTGCCTCGTTTCCAATCATGTGTCACGCAATGCCATAAGATACATGTCGAAGCATAAAACAGGTGCGGTATTTTTGGAATCAAGTCATCCCTCCAAGGTACAGCATCGGTATTCTATCGCATGCGCCAAACCAACGAGTATCAGAAACAGAGATTCAGAAAATAAACCGATCGATTGGATCTGCGAATAGAAGTAGATACGCACCGTTGATTGGCTCTTCTCGGAAAAGGGACACATACTGATTTTTCCACACGGGAACAACTACACCTGTCCCTCTTCGTCATTTCCATAATAGAATCGCAAGAGAGAGAAGCGCGATGCAGTTTCTCTCACCAATTCTGTTCACCATTTCCAGGCTTACTGTGAAGATTCCCTCAAGAATAAAAGCGGGAATTGGAGAAAGAAAAAAGCAAAGTCACTTTGCACTTCAAATGAATAAAGCCATCACATTTAGCCATTGTGCAGCAAATGACAAGGATGGAGGTTGTACAGTAGTAAGTAATACACCTCCCCACAAATCTCGGCTCAGAGATGGTCCCAGCACTCAGGCAATCATCGTCATCTTTTTTTTTGTACAAGCAGTACAAGTAGTCCTCAATACCTAAGATTGCTTCACTTCGCGGCTTTACAAGTAACGAGTGCGTTGTGACCCTCATAAGTGGCATTTCTGACGCCTGTCTAGTTGCCCCGCCCACCAAAAGTCGAAGGCTCAGAGGTTCCGTCACAAGTTCAGAGTCTACACGGCGTTTTTTGCTTTTTTCTATTAGACGGCATAAGCATTGGGTGATGCGAAGAAGCGATTAATGCGCCAGAGGAGGCACCATATAGTTTTACCATCAAACAGCAAGTTCTGCCGGTTCGTCCGAGAAGGCTACAGGTCCCTGCTTAGGGTGTCCATCAAGTTTCATTTGTTTTTCACTTCCCTGGAGTAGGGTTATTTAGCTTGTACTATATGCTTACAATTGAACACAGCTATCCACAATATACAGTCACGGAGTGTGTCTTCCTCCCCCCCCCCCAATATGAGCGATCGATGCCGATCGATTCTCGTCTGCGGCTGCGTTCGCGTCTATAGGATGGAGCGCTGTTGCAATGCGCGTCGTAGAGCATAGACGCGCGTCATCGCGAAGTCTAAAGCTTCCATTGTAGACGTAATAGACTGTCAGCCTGTCAATATGACAAGTGTGTTGGACCGGTTTTGTATCATGACGAGCTAGCGAGCTTTACAAGTCCTATAACCACAAACTGCGATAGCCCTGGACAAAGTCATGAGGAGAAGGCAGAATGCCCTCTACTCGAGTAGCCTCTGGGTCGACTCTGTGCGTATTCTCCTGAGTCGCAATTTCTACACATTCGCAAAGTACGAACGCGGTTAAACCTTCTCAAGTTGTAGCTCGCCTCCTCTAAATGGTACCAATTAGTAGAACGCCCACAACATGGGCACTTAACTATTTGAATTAAAGAGCGTGAACGCCAGTCGACGTGGGAACGTAGTTGGAGGGACCACTCGGCCAGCTTCCTATCCCTTCCCCTGGTGAGGCCGGCCCCCCGCTTTCTACTGATATTATTCCATCTCTTCTTTTAGTTACTCTCTATCCACTGAAAAGCCCAGGGGAAACAGACAAAAGGATTTCCTTAGAGTGAAAGGCAAAAAAACCACCTTCATCACTTTTTACAAGCTTCTATTTCATCAGTTCCTTTCTTTCCTTCTTTATTTGATTCAGCAAAGGTTACGTCTTCTCTTTAAGACTACATTTAGGCGATTCAGGTCGCGCGCACTCTTACAAGGGAGGTCGTTCAGGGCGTGGTGCGCTTTTCGAAAACGGTTTTTTGCATATTGTAGGGGCTCATGCAAGGACCTGAAAAGTGTGCTTCATTTTCGCTGCGCGCTTCCAGGAAAGGTAAAAAACGAGTGAAAAGAAATCTTTGGAATCTGCTTCGTTCTGGGCCTCTATACGGCGTAGGTCACTTGCAACTTTGACCAGTTGCTGAGTGGGGGTCCTTATAAAGGGGCTATTTGAATCGAAGCGAAAAATCGCCGCAAGTGAGCTTCCAACTTGGGTCACGTGCTCAAGGGTGAACGGCTTCTTGCAATGGTTTCATCAACGATTAGAGCGCTACGCAGAGTCGAGCATCGGATGGCCTAGTGGATAGAGTGGAGGTTTCGCAATCGGACAGTGAGGGTGGGGTTGATGGTTCGGCTCCCCTTGCGTCGCGGCTTTTTGCATTTTTTAGATTTCGCTGTTCTCGCTTCCATTAGTGTCTGCGCATGAATATAACTCGGATATTTGCCATTTATGGGCACATTCTGAGTAGCTGTACCTCATGAGTCAGTGCTATTCAACTATTTCGATTTTCACGCACCATTGAACAAGATTGTTGCTGGACGTTGATCCTCATAGGCTATACAGTGGATCTGATTGCGAATTTAGTAACTTCTGGTGTGGTGTCAATTATAGACAATTTGGGGCCACATCTTCTTTCCACTGAATTCGTTATGTACACCAATATAGGGAACGTTCAGCGCTATTCTGTCGCCAAATTGCGTGGACGCCAAGAATAGGTGTTATATTTGTGATCAGGGCCACTGATTACCACTAAAAACGAATTTTCGGTCAAAACAATTGTTTTGACCTTCTTGGGTTTGCTTATTGGGTTGTCCGGGGTCCGTAGCGTCAACGATACGCATCGCTGTTACGAAGATGTGAGACTTCGCTCAAATTGCTGACCAAACGATCACCTATTAGGTTTTCGGGAAAGTTCTGTCATACTTTTTGAACCCAAGTATTCGCCTATTACCTGAAGAGGGCTAACCGGTAATGTGAGCATTTACACATTAAGGACTGATCGGTGCAATTGAAAACGTGATCGGTGCAACTGAAAGCGTGCGCATCGATCGTCGAATCGCGCGATCGGAGCGCTGCCGTCGCGAAGTATGAACGCTGCCTTAGTGTCACTGGCTCGGCTCCTGCTCATCCTTATTCTGCATTATGGACAAGAATGTTATCCGCTACCTTCAGCACCGACCCCTTCAAGCGCTTCCTTAAACTATTTCTTCTACCACCCTGGCAGCTGTCGACGCCGAAATAATGGAGCTGCACAAGGACAATGTCTACAGTCATCAGACAATCTTCCACGACGCTAGCTCTTCAGAGCGGGAGCCTACGGTTCGAATGACGAAGTGAGGTTCGGGAGTACCTGTAAACTCAGCTCTAGATAGCGGTGGGTCGGGAAACTACTGGATGAAGAAGCTGCCTCCTCGGTCAATCCGTACGCAAGGCAGCTACGAGATCTGAAGCGAATCGTCAAGCAGAGGGCAAAATCCATCGGCACAGTCCGTCTTCAACGTGCTGGTGCAGCACACCCCGTCAAAAAAAGTTCGAGCCGTACTTCATGCAATAGAGCTGGATGGCTCTCCCCTTGCACCGGTGTAGTCCAGACATTGCTCTTTCTGACTGCTAGTCGCCTCCCGTATTCAACCGTTATACAGCCGAGAAAACCTCCACGACTTGAGCCCAAGTCAAAGTTGAGATGATGTCCAACTTTGCGTCGCGCCGGCGTGCATTGTTAAGCGATGGCATCCACGAACTGTCCAAAAACTGGCAAGGATCTCTCAATAACATTGCTGTCTTGTACGCCTCTCTGTAAAAGAAAGTCTAATTTGAAAAAATGATACGGAACTTTCCCGCCAACCTCATGCAACAGAAAAAGTCAAAAAAATTTTTTGCTCAAAACTTGCTCCTAGGGGTAATCGACAGTCCTGATCACGATTCTAGACTTCCAGTGCCATCTGGCACCGGCATAGCGCCGAAGAGCTGAGTCTGTGCATACTAACGAATTCGAACGAAAAAGCAGTTTTGCTCCATAAAAGTAGGATTGTTCAGTTTATCGTGAATGTTTTTGTTAGGACCAATTATTTAGACAAACATGGATCCAAAAAATGAAAAATTGTAGAAAAGCAAAATTTTGTCCTCGGTGGGATCCGAACCATCGACCTATTTTTTACGTTTTTTTATTCGTAGAAGCGCGCAGCGAAAATGAACCTCAGTTTTCTGGTCCTCGTATGTGCCCCTACAATATGCACAAGACCATTTTGAAAAAGCTCACCACGCCCTGAACGACCTCCCTTGTTAGCCCTAGCCCTTTTGAAGGGATGCAGAGAAGCGAACGAGTGTGTTTCCCCCAACTATGTTAACGCCTATGTTTGATCGGAATAGTATGTCAACACCACAAACCTACTACGCTCAGTTTTTCGTAGGCTTCTTTAGTAGAACTCGGTGCTTCAGTACCCATCCTTCCGCTTCCTCTGCGCAGCGTACGACCGTAATCCATGTGAATCCGGACCAGTTATCGGTACATAGAGCGACCCTGTAAGTGGTGGCCATAATTGACATCCGAACTTACATCTCCAACAATGACATCAAGAAGGAGGTCATATACAAATCGCAAGCAAAAGAAAAGGAAGCCCCACATCTCGGCGTCGTTTTTTCACAATTTGATTGTGCGATTGCGTACCGTGACCAATTACCATGACCTTACGCCGAGTTTTATTCCAAGCTGTGTTTTATGAGTTTGATTTCAGACTCAAATCCTTTCTGTTGTTATTTTTGAACCGTAAGCTTCTCCAACGGCATTGCGTGCTTGTCAAGTCTTACATAGTCTTGGAAGCACGTGACTAATAATGTAGTATGCTTCCTAAAAGTTGTAAATGAAGGGTGTTGAACATCACCAGTAAGAATAAGCCCTTTCGTTGAAGAATTTTTTCTGAAGTCCAAAATTCTCCCGCTTTTAGTTATGCATGGAGTGCTCCGGTGCTGCTCTCGGTCAAAATATGTGACTACATCACAACGGTTTCTTTCACTTCTTACAAATGTGGGTGCTTCTTCTCTTTTTTTTCAATGAAACGTATTCGTTTTGCGTCATCATTCTGTTTTTATTATTTATTTCTTTCTAGGGACTTCCTCGGTTAAGCTCGACACCATCTCTTCAAAAATGTATGCAAAAGCGCAACATACTTTTCAAAATGGGTAATGAAACGCCGCCGAGAGTTGTGGGATATTATGTTGTGTTAGTGATGTTTTCGCCATGCTTGAAGCTCTTTCTACCACTTTTCCCCCGTAGTAAGTAAAGTCTGCTGTGTCTCTGTTTCAGGTTTCCTCATATTCCCGAAGAAACTGTGGAGAACAATCGGTTCATGTATAACATCGCCAAGGGTGAAGATTGGCCAACCTTAGCAACAGCAACCCCTAAGGTGTGAACATACTTTCATGTTTTATTTTAGACTTAATTCCAATGACATTTATTGTGATTAGAGCTAAGCCGAGCCTGGGCTTAGGGAAGGGATACAGATATAGCGGCGTTTTGTCTCCTCCCCTCTACATCGTTTGCACCATTTTCTCTCCGTTTGAGGGCTCCGTGTCCACTATATATTTTGTTGCAGGAAATGTACGAAGGTACAGTACGAATGCTTATGGAATATGGAGCAACGTGCATGGAACATCTTGAGCTGTTGAACAAATGTAGGACTTTCAAGAGCTATGGTTGCTTTGTTTCCAATTTTTTCTTCAATATAGCCAGTCAGAATTTGAGGGTTTCATGGCTTCTAGTGCATCTTCTTCCCTTTCCCCTTAAGATTCATTCTTTGCTACCTGGGAGAACAAGAGAGCAGGAAAACCAGCAAATTGACGTGCTGAGAGAATGCGCACCAAAGAACCAGATGAAGATCGATGAATCGGCTATTCGGCATGGTCACTGGTGTGCATGCCAATTCGCCGATTCTCCTAAACTCAAGTTCTCCCAGTTGCAAAATATGAATGCGGTGTAACACGTTAAATTCGTTCCCTATTCAGTGCCAGTGGAGGAACGCACTTTTGAGACAGTTGTCGAACCCCTTATTGACAGAAGAATATGAGTGGATTACGCCTCAGACGCTTCTTCTTAAAAGTGCTCTGACCCGCCACTCCGCCAGAATGCGATAGGAAGCTTTTGACGCGATCTCATCATGGGGGGGGAGGTAATGTGCACTAATTCATTATTTCTACATTTAGAGTGGAAAAGTGAACAGTTTGCGTTACCAATTTCCCATGTTCTTTTCAAGTGGAATATATGTTTTCTTAACCACATTTTTCGCGTTTTTCAGTGGAATATATGTTTTCTTTCAGATAAAAATTATGAGTGCACGTGATCACATGGAAATTTGTCCAACCTCGACTTCCAGGACGCATCCAATGGTGAACAACTAGTATCCCTGTTTCTTGAGAAAGGAAAGAAATGAGAAACGGAACATGAAGTGCTACGCTCTTATGCTCATACTCTGCCTCATCGTTGATCATATATGCCAGGTTCAAGCCCGCGGAAGCGTTTTGAGGACTACGAAAAGTATATATTCGAACATCTAGCATCTCCGATAATCACAGGTTCAGAGACTGCCCGCGAATGGTTCAAAACCACCCGCACAATGCTCAAAACGCTGGAGTACGCACAAATTCTAGATCGGTATCTGTGCCTTCCTGGTTGCTCAAAACAGTCACACACGCTCAAACGCTCAAGAGCTGCCGTACGCTCAAACCGTTGACCCGGAGTATGAAGCAATCATAAGATGTGCACACATAATTGTTTGGTCAACCACTGTTTTAATCGTCATGCCGAACAGACATTTCATCCTGTCTGCTTGATGGGAGAGCTGACTTTACATTGATACAGTCTTCCAAATTACTGTGCAGGCCAGTTATGCTTGCAAATGTCACGAGCATGGAGGCCTTGCAATGGTTGTCCATGCCAGAAATCGATAATATAACGTCGAGCGTTTTTCTCTTCACCTTTCTCTTCACCGTTTTCTCTTCACCTCTCTAGTTTCGTTTCAGCAACTCTACGACGCAAAGGAAGGATTAACAGAGTGGCAGTTACGGCTTCTTGAGTGGTATTTGCTTGAGGTGAGTCACCAAAAAAAACTGCCGTAAAATCAGGGCAACTGCGTAAAAACGAGAAAGAAAGCGAGGAAGCTTTGACATATCGTACGTAATGCTGAGCAGAAGCTGTCTAATTCCGGTCGGATTGAGAGACAGTACATGGCAATTACAGTCTTATTCGCTGTGTGCGCTGGGCTGGATTTGATGCTACGCAAGTTCTCCAGGAATTGTGGTCGCTTTCCTTCTTCAACAATTGTTGAACAGGCTGGCATTGCGTCAAACCCAGCCCTATGACACGCCCTAGCATCCGCAGTGAACAAGACTGTACCATTGACAGCGTTGTACTGCTCGCGTCCGACCACTGAGCCATGAAAGAACTTCGTATTTTACATAAAAACTAGCACCTTGGAATTTTTGTTTATCGTTTTCATAACGGCTAACGGATGGTTGCTTCCTTTTCTCTGAAGAATACTAATTCAAACTATAATTGAAGTTTCGTGCAAGTGGGTTAGATAGACGAGATGACAAATCGCGAAAGCTCATAGGATCGTGGAACAGATTCATCGATGAATATCGTAGCAAATATATGTGAGTTTCAGTCACTTTCCAAACTGTGCTGGTATTGCATTCGTTTCAAAAATACTGCTAAGAGTCGCTGTTATTCGAAACCTCGCGAAATTTGTGATTACCTTAACATTCCGGCCGGCCGTATGTTGACAAAAAACATAGAATGCCGCCGGCCGTGCATCTCATCTTTCCTCTAGATTGAGCCGTTTATCTCATCTTTCCTCTCGTAGCTGACGCTAGAGCATCCAACCACAACAATGAACTCTAAAACTGAATGTACTACTCTGATGTCCCCTTCGATTCATTCTCTTATATGGCATATTGTAGTTCAAATATCATGTCCACCAACGACCAGCATGTTTTCACCATAACTGACAAGGCCATGTTGAAAGATGCTCCACCTCATGTTCTGCAAGTCCTTGCTGCTGATCCGTAAGTTCTTAGCAGCTGTATTCTAGAGAAGGAAGCTTGATTACATTATCTGATTTCGCCTCGTCTTACCTAGGGCTCGCTCGTACTTTGTGATTTTGGAAAATCAGCAAGTCCCCAACGTGTTACCCGCAAATGTGCATACAGCTCACAAATGGGCATACAGCAGTCTTTCTCGCTTCTCGATTCCTGGTGATGGGACTTGTCAAGGGAGGATGAGTTCTGCCTCAGCGAGTTTTTTTTTCTCTCGGCAAGCGATAAAACTGTGTCATATCGTTCGTAGTCGTTTTCCATCCTGTGTCGCTTACGCGCTGCGACAATCGGTAGAGAATGGGCTAGTGGCGCGCGCTTCACTGGCACGCCTCTTTATCCGCAACGAACGAGACTGTAGAACTGGTCACTCCCTAGTGGGCGGAGTCAATTCCCGTGTATTCCTTGTCGCGCATTCCCCACTTCGCGCAATCTCCAAAATCGCGAATACTCCCAAATCGTAGATTATCCAGGTTCACAAAGCATGAAAAAGGCTAACGGTAGCAGTTCTATTCAAACCGTCAGGAGGATTTCGAGTTGTTCGACATGCTTCCCCATTTCTAGAGCACAATGGGAACAAGGACCATGGCGCGGCCGTATGACTCCTTATTCCATTTATCCGTTCTTGGAATATTGTTCAAATCGTCAGTTGAGGGCGGAAGCATGGGAGAAATGGATCAGCAAGGTAGGATACCTTTTTTTTGGTATGCGAACAATTTACTCTTTTCTCTCATTTCTTGTGAACCTACCCCAGTTTTAATATTGTTCCGCTCTGCCATTGTTTTCCGAGTTTCTGTCCTAGTTTAGAAGGCAAACTGTACCCTCACCTACGATAACGATTTTTGATATCACGAATAGAACGTTTAGGGAACTGTACAATTGTAATATTTTCGTCACTCGAAATCGCGCAAAAGAGGGTTGAGGGGTAGTGAACGCTCAATGCTGTTCATTTCTCCGCCCACGTTATCCTTAACACTTTTAAGGCGGCGTGTACTCCGGGAGTACACGCGGAAACCCCTGTTTTCGGTCATTCGTACAGTTCTGCGAAAACACGCGCATATTTTTTTTTGTTCTTTTTGCGACTGATTATATTCTACTAGCATACATTTACACAATTAACACATCAGTACGAAGAAAAATTGTAAAAGTAAGCCAAAAACAACAACGAACGTGAGTTCTGGGCGAAATGGCCTTCGCCTTGAATGTGTTAAGGTGCAGTAAGGCAGCTTTCAAACTTCGCGATGGCAGCGCAGCACGTTCGACGCGATCGATGCGCATGCTTTCGACTGCATCGATCGCGTCGAACGCGCGACCGAAGCGCTGCCGTCGCGAAGTCTGAACGCTGCCTAATTGCGTTGATACCAAAGTCCCACATCGAAAATGCGCAGCCAAAGCAGAGAACAACACAAACGTGAGAGCCAACAAGTACTTGTTTGTTTATGGTTAGGCGAGTAGGCGTATTACCTGTCTAACTGCTTAGCCTGCAGGCAGAGAACTGAACCGCCCCTGCCACTACCACTCTCCGCCAGCCTCATACCCTTCTTGACGAACTTCGCGCATTTCTCCAGGTGCTAACCGATTTTCTCGCACGCAAAGGTCAGAATCAACGGAGATGAGCGTACAGTCAGTCTTCAACGAGGCGGATTTTGACGATATTGCTTCTATTTAGGCATCGTTCGATCATGATTTCTACAACAACTCAGTGAATATTGAAGAACTGAGACACAATAAGTAGGTTTCTTTTCTATGTTTCACGTCGCGGATGGCTCTAGTTTCATTTCCTTCAAACTTTCGAGTAACTACAATTTGTTGCAAAAACTGTTATCTGGGTGACCTTTCCTAGCCTACAGGACCAGCGTATTGGGACAGTGTGTCGATGACGACGCCAGTAGATAGGGTCATCTCAACAGCAGTTCTTGAGGAAGAGAAATCGAGAAATTTTCGGAAGAAAAACATCGAAAAGTGGTAGGATGTCGGCTATTTTGCGCAAGATGGTAGCTAGGATGGAGCATGAGGAAGTTGTGGGGGTGCAAGGTCGCATCTTGCAAAAGTGCTCCCCAACGGCAGAATATGCCGTGATTGTAATGCCACCTTCATGGCGAGTGTTCGGCTACCAATTATCGACATTGATCGCAGACTTACTTTGAAAGGCATTTATGTATATACCAGTCGGCTCGCCGGCTAACGCCGGCGCGCCTCCTTCTGATACGGCCCGGCTGCGCCGCGCGCGTATTTTCTTTCACATATTTCTAGACTCAACTGATATCCGCCTTTTGTTCTGTACTCCACTTTTTTCCGGTGTCTGAAGTACTCTTGAGCTATTTTACAGATTCTTCGTCTGACTCCGCCCACAATGTTTTTGCCCCACAATCCTCACCGGCGACCCTCTGCTGACCTTAATCCACGTTTTTTCCGGTCTTTGAAGTGCTCTGGGACAGTTTTAGAGAATTTTCGTCTGGCTCCGCCCACCTCGGGCTGGCCCCGCCCACAATATGTATACCCCACATTTCTCAATCGGCGACCCCTTGCTGACCTACGGCCTGAAGGCGGATCCCTTTTTTTCCGCGGTGTGCTGGAGTCGGCTTTGAAATATATTTTAACAGATTTTTTCCGTGCTGACTCCCCCAAACGGGAGCAGGCCGCCCACAGTGTTTGTGCCCCACAGTCCTCACCGGCGACCCTTTGCCGACCTTGATGCACGTTTTTCCGGTCTTTGCAATGCTCTGGAACCGAGCTACAAACTTTAAAAATGAGTATCCTGCGATTTAGGGCAAGCTCCGCCACTGTGGGCGGGTCTCAACACACTTTGAGCGTGCCCTGTATTCGCCGGATATTTACATTCTACACTGAGTTTTTTGCGACTTCCAAACACTCTCGCGAACCGGGTTACTGAATTTTGCGAGAAGCACCGCCCACCTTGAGTACGCCCCGCCCATTTAGGGTGTACCTGCCACAGTTAGTCTGGCGACTCCTTACTAACCTTAGTCCCTTTTTCCCCATCTTCAAGCTGCTCCGGAAGCGAATTATGACCATTTCCTGCGGAACCCCAAACTTTCGGCGAGTGCCCCGCCCAATGTGAGCGGGGCTTCCCATAGGTCAAGTGTGCTTTTTATTTCTTGTCCCATGCTCTACCCATCCCCACCTTGACCCGACCTCTCCAAGTCGTTCTTCAGGTCGAACCGAATTTCCGGACAGACAAACTTACAAACTTACAAACAAACAAACAAACGACGAAGCGAATTATATTATGGGGTGATATATATATATATATATATTATATATATATATATATATATATATATATATATATATATATATATATATATATATATATATATATATATATATATATATATATATATATATATATATATATATATATATATATATAAGAAGAACTTATTGCAGCGAAGGCCTTGCAAAAACCTTGGGTTACTCGTCAGTTGCTGAACATCGACTGCGAACAAATGGCTGCTGTTCCGCCGGAAACTGTCCGAAAGCGTTCTTTGAATGCGTGAGTAGTGTTGCTAAGAGTTGTGTAGCTTTTCGTGATAAGAAAATATATGTACGCTGACATTTCTTTAGACTGACTCGTCGTATTCGGCCAGTGTTCATTGATCGAATGGAGTCATGGACAGCTTTCGCTCAAGCCAAAGAGCTCATGTCTAGCAATTTGCAAGCTCACGATCTCGCATACATCTGTAGAAAAGAAGCTGAACAACACTATGAGTAAGCCAACGGCGCAAGCACAAACATTTATAGATTTCATACGATCCTTCTAAACACTGCATTTAGTGTCGACCCGGTGGA